CCAGTGTGATGAAATCCACATGGTGTGTCCCCAGTGGAGACAACCGCATGGCTCCTGATGTGGGTGAGGTGCTCATGGGGTGCATCCCAGTGGGATGGGAATGAACCCCTCCTTCCACACCCACCACTGGTCCTCACCAGGGCAGGCCTCAGGCTCGCACACAAGCTAGCAGCAGCCTGTCCCTTGCAGTGCCACTGCCCCAAGCTCGGTTTCTTTTGTCTGACTGGTGAAAGTCTGCATTTCATCCATGCATCCATCTATATACTTATATGGTCCTCATCTCCACTATGCCCAAATCTCAAGGGCCACCAGGATATTGTTTGCTTTTTTTTGCAGCTATCATGCTGGAATTCATAAACAGAAAAGTTGTATGTGACACACATGAAGTAAACTTTCCCATCCCCATTACTAAAGCCTCAGCTGGAGTCCTGCATCCAAGTTTGGGCACTGTTCATCTAGAAAGACAGGCCCCAACTGGCAAGAGCCCAGAGGACAGCAATAGGAGCGATCAGAGATGTAGAAAACAGCCTCTAAGGAGAGACAGAGGGAAATGGGTCAATTAACTCATGAAAACGGAAGGTAGAGTGGAAATGGGGTAACAGTTTTCCATTCATAAAAGGTTCCTGTAGAAGAGAGCAATGACTTTCTTCCCATATCTGCTGGAAAGCAGACAAAAAATAATAGGATGGGAGCTTTAGAATGGCTTTTGGGAAAAACTTTCAAAGCAGAAGTACAATAAAGCCCTGGGGTAGATTGCCCAAGGAGACCAGGTGGAGTCACCATTAAGACTTTCGAGAAAAAGGTGTTTAAGCATCTGTCAGGGATGGTCTTGGCTTGGTACAGGAGGATGGATTAGGGTACATCTTCATGCCCCTTCTTGCCATACATAGCTGTGATTTTTCTATGAGAACCTCCCGTGTACATTACAATTACACCGTGATCTTTAAAAGCCCGCCTCAGACCTCAGTAGTCATTTACAGCAACCAGAGTTTTCCTGATTGCGGAAAACAAAATTAGTTGTGGTATTTCAGAAGGCAGCTAAGGTTTTCAGTATCACCCCTGGAACCAGCTCACTTTGCACAGGCAGCAATTTTCAACTCGCGTTTTCATGGCCACACCAGCCTGGAAGCTCAGTGTCCCCAGCAGCAGCATTCACAGGTCTCTCTGCTCCATTTCCTCCCAGCTCTTCAGCTTAAACTAGCAAAACCTGTTATTAATCTATCAAACACAACCCAGTACTTAAAAATGGCTGTAATGCAATAACACCTTTCCTGCAGCCCATCAATTTCTGGTTTTCTAAGCTGCTTCTGCTAAACAGTCTTGCCTGTTCTGGAATTAGCAGCAGCTCACTGCATCTTAGCAAGAGTCAAAACTCCTCTTCTTACTAAGAGACTGAAAAAGAAGTCAGGAGATCACACACGACATCCCTGCATGCCTGAACAGTGTGCAATAATTGATGGGGTGTGGTACCACATTAACACAGACCCAGTGATCCCAGTGGGGAGGCTGCTGAGCAACATGGCTTGAATCCCAAATGATTTGAATGGCAAATAGGAAAAAAACAACAGCTGATAGTTGAAACAGAGAAAAAATGAAGGGGGAGGGAATCAAAATTGAAAGATTTGTAATTTACCATAAGAAAGTAGTGGCTAACCTTAACTGAAATAACTTTGGTAACTTTGTGGTCTAATTCCAAATGGGAAGAAAAACTAAATTAAATCAAAGCCCCAAAGTTTGTGTCTACCCAGCTCTATCAAAAACTTTCTGCTTTGTATCAAAATCAGGTCCAAACTGTCCTCAACATGCAGCCAGGGCTTCTAGGTTTGTGACCCAGCTGGGGGAGAAAGCAGCTCAGTGGGCCCAGCACTGCCTCTCCTCTGGGCAAGCTTTTGGCAAAAAAATGTTAATTAAATCTGTGCAGTGATGCCACAAAACCAGGGCTGAGCTCTCCCGGCAGCACCACATTGCACTCATACTGTGCAGCGAGCGCAGGCGGATATTTATATGCCAAAAATGACAAGTTATGGGTTAGATAAGCCAGGAAAGGGCAAGTTGCACCTAGGGGAAATCTCTGCAGCCGCTGTGGGAAAAACGGAGCTGATGGTCCCACAGTTGTCTCTTAACACTCATTTCTTCCCTTGAAAACTGTTGTACCAACCTCTTTATCTTGCACCCCACATCAGCTCTGTGGGCAGAGACACGACCATGCGCACTGTGCAATGTCTATGAACCACAGACACAGGGCAGCACCTCTGTTCAAGGCACCCAGTCCCCTTGAACACAGTCTCCTAAGTTGTCCAAAAATTTTGTTGTCTGGTAAATTCTATTCTGGGAAAGCAAAGCTCAGAGTGATTGGTAATCAAAATATACAGAAGAGGTACACCAGCCCAGAACAGCCATGTCGTCCAGCATCCCCTGGCTATATCCACATATCAGCTTTGCAGCTTGTCCTCTGCTTCTAGCTACTTCTAATTCACCTTGAACTGCTGCCATGGCTGCAGGATACTTTAGGAGAAATAGGAGAGGACAAAAAAAACCCACAGGGCCTATATATTACCCTAAAAATAAACACCCAAGAGGAGTCAGAATTATTAAAACAGTGAGTAGATGAACAAGAACCAACAGAGACCCCATAAAGCACAGAGAGCAAAACACAAATCAGTGTCAGCACCACCATGGTGACAGATGTCACTGTGGTGACAAATGCTACTGTCCCAGTTTACACACAGCACCAAGTACTACAGTGGGCTGTGAAACAGCCTCTTTACAGCAAAACCAAGATTATGGCAACATAAGACTGGAAGGAAACACAGCCCATCAGTGGCCCAGCAAAGTATCAGATCAGCCAGCATTGGGTATTTTTGTTCTTGTTAATAAATAAATAAAAAAAAATGTGATGATTAAGTGGAAGCAAAATAGCACTGTTATCAATACAGAGTGCCTATGCAGTACATTAAACCTAAGTAATTTAAAGAGCAGAGCATATCATATAAATAATTAATTTTCTTTTGGTAAGGACAATGCAACTTTAGATGCCCAAATTTTCAAGGGGGGGGTGTTGCTTTTTAATTAAAATGTAGGCATTTACAAATGCACATGGGCCTTTAATCATTCATGTTTGAAGCAAGTTGACTTGGTCATGCATTAGAAAGAATAAAGCGGCTTTCACCTTTCTGTAGATTACACCCAGCAAACTGCCGGGGCTGTGAGTGAGCTGAGGAAGTCTGTCTTGTGATGAGAGCGTGTTTTGGTCCCCTGTGCAGCACAAAGTCATATGGGAAGATGCATTTGCTGAGGTCAAAACGAAAAAAGAACAAAGTGCTAGAGAGCCAGCGAGATGCAGAATCAATCTGCCTCCATGACTGTCTTAAAGCAGGTTCTCCTCAGCAATTAGGGATATTATGAAGGCAGATAACCAGAGTGCAGATGATTTCAAAAGGTTTACTTGCTTTCTTCCTAATGACACTGCAGACAACAGCCCTCTCCCTCCTTTCCTGGATTTCTGGCTCAATGGGAGCTTCTCAGCTGGTTTGTGGGGTCTGGGTCTGGCCTAGGCGAGTGCAGCGCAGTGGGAACCTCAGCCCTGTTCTGAGCAGTAACTTCCACAAAATGGATTCCAGCCCAAAATAAAGCTCTACTGCTCAGGAAGTAAAACAAAAGCACCCAACCCTCATTATTTTGAAATCCCTGGATTTTTTACCTAAGATGATGAGCCTTGAGAGCCCAGCACCATGAAACCAGCAATTACCTGCATGGTCTGCTGCAAGGCATGGGTCTGTGCACAGATCCTGGGCCGCTCTGCCCCAAGCTGTTTCAACAGCTTGTAGTGGCCGAGGATCTCTTCCACAGGTTTTGTATGCACCAAAGCACAAAAATTACAGTATTTCAATGAAAATCAAGAAAGGATTATTTAGGTTAAAACAGTCCAGTGACCATAACCCACTCTGCTGGGAATTTGCAGCCTGTGGGGAGGTGAAATCAAAGGGGAGGTTTGCAGCCGAGATTCTGTGCTGATGGCCGGTGGCTGCTCAGGGAGAGGCTGCAGCTGAACCTGGTGGCACCGAGCAGCAAGAAGGGACTCGTGTTCACCCCTGCCGAGCTGAACAGATCTACCTACACATACAGCTCTGCCCCGCAGCTCCCCTCCTGCTCCCAGCTCCTCCAGGCAGCTCCCGCCTGCTTTGCTGCTCTGGCTTTTCACAGACAGAAGTTTCCAGAGATGCTCTTTGATGCTGGCAGCCTCCTCCTTCTCCACTGCACAGAAACAGAAGCAGAAAATCAGGTGCTAACATAAAGTCTTGCTGCAGCAGAAATTCGGCTAGGAATGCAAAGTCTTGCTGCAGCCACTTTGCACCAGATTTGCCCAGTGCATGTATCTGCAGCTGGGACACCAGGCCCGGCCAGTCCCCGGCAGAGCCGTGCCCTCCGGGCCATGGCACAGAGGACAGAGCCTCCAGCCTGTGCCAGCAGTGCCATCTATTGCCACGCTCAGCTCCTTCGCAGAGGGCCAGCTCCAAGCAGAGAGGGAGAAGGGGGAAAAGGCAAATTCCCACCAGCAGGAATAAGGGAGACTTCCTGGTTCACCCGCATGCTGCTCTGCCTTAGAAAAACTGCTAATGTTTAAAATATCTGCATGTGTTACACCACACTAAGCCCACAGACAGTGATATCTGAGAGATCTGTCCCCTGTCAGAGCCTGGGGTCTGAGAGTCCCTTATCCTCCCTGGGTCACAGCTCTGCTCTGACCTTGCTGGTGCACACTTCCCATCTGGGAAGGGTCAAAGCACTTGGGAGTTGTTATCTCCAGCATCCTACTGCACTGGTTGCCTGCAGCCTCAGCCCAAAGGGGAGAGCAGGAGAGGAGCTGCACGGTCACCCCATCCCTGGCACTGACCTGTGGTCAGCACGGACCAGGCATGGCATCCAAACCTGCTCTGCTTTCCTGAACACCTCATAGATGTGTCCGGTCCTCAGCTCGAGATGGCCGATCACTGCAGTTTTCTCTATCATTGCCAGACAGAGTGAGGTATCCAGTTCTGCTTGAGGTGAAGAATGAAAATATATCAATGCTCATGTTGTTTTAAATGCAGGGTGTGAAATGAAGAATGAAAATATATCAATGCTCATGTTGTTTTAAATGCAGGGTGTGAAGCCTTGACTCTATGGACATATTAATCTGATACATCAGCATTCTGATATTCAGTGGCTCTTGTCTCTCACTTCTCCTCGGTTTTGGACTCCTGGTTTAAAAAGAAAACCACACCAAAACCACCCCCCAAACGTCCAGCAAATACCTCTCCTCTCCCCAGGGAGAAGCAGTGATGAGCAACACTAGCACATGGCATTGCTTGTATTCACATTCGTTTCCACAAGGGAATGACTTCCACTTTTTAGTTTCAAGGAGGAATGACTTCTGGGTGGGAGAGGGGCAGCTACAGGCTTGGCTCCATGGCAGTCGGGGTGGTGGGGGCTGTGGCCCTGCTGAAAGGTTTGGCTGGCACAGTTCACCTTTTCCAGGCAGAGACTGGCATTTCTGCTGACGAGGCTGCAGGGTGACGAGCGCTGTGTGGAAACGAGCAGCCCCACGTCGCTTGCAGAACCAGACCCAGTCCTCTGGTCCTTTCACACCACCTCAGCAGTGTCCAAGGGAGCGATTTCACATCCGCCTTGGCACATGGAGCTGCAAGGCTTACCCAGGGGACTGCCAGAGCTGTACAGCACTAGGCCTTCTGGATGATACCACTCTGGTTTAGCCCAGCTGGCCCAGTACACCATAGTGCTCAGACTAAGCACTCCAACCCACGGACTGCTGAGTGGTGTCTGCTCTGTGCCCACTCCCCACAGCATCCCATGGCTAAGGGACCTGGCTCCGTGCCCCACACAAAGCCATCACCCTGTGACTGCTCAGCCCCTGGCAAAGCACCTTCAAGCCTGAGAAGGACAGAAAAAACATATATATATATATATATATATATATATATAAATCAAACCTCTAACTCAGGTCTTTCAGGTTTGCAACTTGCTCTTAGCCAAGTTATGCCTGTTACAGCCTTAAGGACAATCTGGGACACAGTCCTGCCAGACTCATACCAGCTTTCTGCCCTTCTCTGGCATCCTTCAGTTTAACTGCATGGCTGAGACACTGATGTACCCAGATCTACACAGCAACTACTGCTTCGGTGCTTTGGCAGCTAACCCCCAGCCTTTGCTCCAGACCTCTCTCCCCAGGATGGTCCAAGCATATCGCAGTGCATCACGTCAACCTCAGAGAGAGCTGGCTCAGGACCCCACACAGGGGCGTGGACAGAAACCATGGTCACAGTGCCAGAGACAGAAATCAACTCACCCCAGTGCCATCCTGCCTTATCTGATTCATTTTCGGTCTGGTACAGAGATCCAGCACACAAATACCCAAACTATAGCAGAAGGCGCCCATGATTTGATCATCTTTCAATACACTGCAAAAATCCCTTAAAAGCATCAGAGGCAGCCACACTGAACAGGAACATGCTGCGAAGGCTGGACCTCAATCTAAAGTGATTGCCCTGAATGAGGGTCTGAGGGGGAGCACACCTTCTCCTTAAAAAAAAAGGAAATAATATAAAAGTCCAGCTCCGCCATCACTCTTCCAGGTATGTGTTTGGATAAGAAATGGGTTAGATTATTTTGAATGGAAACCTAACACTGGAAACTCTGAGCTGCTGCTTAGAGCACATGCAGCCTCCTGCACTTACAGGCCCTTCTGAGGAGCACTCCTCCATGTTCATAGCAGTGTCATTGCAAAGAAGGAAAAGTTATTGTTTCTGTTACTTATTATTGTCTGTATTTTGTAATAACAATAATACAAGATCTGGCAGCTAGCAAGCAAGGAAAAAAACTTGCACTGTAGGGAAGCGGATTTAACCATTGAAATTCAAGCCCAGGAAGCATGAATCTGCTCTTGAGTGCTATTGATCCTCTCAGAACAGAACTGATTCAGATTATGAACTCTCATTTGGCTCTGATGTGCAAAGCATAGTGCAAGCCTTGGGAGTTCTGAAAAAGTATTCCGATACACATTTATAATTATTATCCCAAGAAAAACATGGTTTTCATCTGATTGGTTGAGGTTCCTCCTTTCAATTCATATCCTGTGTTGAAACCATGCACATGACTATGACTGTACCAGCCTGAACAGAGGTTGCTATTTAATCCCTGAGCACATTTCTCAGCAGGTCTTGGACCTTCCATCCCTACAAATGCCCCACAGGTTGCAGAGCCTCCCACGGGAGGCTGATGCTGAACTCAGCTCATGGCAGCAGGGCTGATGACCCAGTGGGGGGGAAGAGCCCTGGCAGCCCCAGCAAAAGGCATATAAATGAGGCCACAAAGGAGTGACCTGCCTGCAGCCAGTGATCATGGCACACCACTATCAGCATCATGATTTTAGCTGTAGGCTGCTTTAGCAATCAAGAAGGGCAACCGATAACCCTGATACCTTGTTATATCCTACCCAGCCAAATAAATCTCTCTCTGCTCCATACTCACACAGTCCCACAACTGCCTTGGGCAGAGAATGGAGGAAAACCAGGCAGGTGTGTTGTCTTCTCTCTGCCCTAGGGAAGGGGAGAGGAAGACACCACACCTGTCAGATAATGAGGCTGTCACAGATCTCACAGAGTAACTCCTTGACTAAGGGTGAGGAGAGTGAGGACCATGGAAACCTTTTGCTGTGCATTTCCCTGTGTTGGTGTTCTAGCCAAAGGTATCTGGGAGTGAAAACATAATGAAGCCCAATACTCATATGCGAATAGGTTGTCAGCACTAGGAGACATTTTCATAGAGCAGGAGCTGCCTTCTCAGGCTCAGCAGCTGAGCCACGGGGCATGGACAGACACTGAGGAGCAGAGGACTGGACCTGGCTGCTTCTGAGCAGCAGTTGGGTCTCCAGCCCCTCAGGCTGCAAAATCTCTCAGTGAATCTAACCACAAAGGTTAAGCACCTTCAACAAATAAGGCAAAGACATTAATTGATGAATGCTGCAGATCTTGAAGATGCTCCTGCCTGGGTGCTGCAATCACAGAATATCATAAATTGGAAGGGACCCATAAGAATCATCAAGTCCAACTCCATCAAGTCCTTGTAGGAGAAAGAGTCATCCTTGAGCCATTGGAAAGCAATCAGGAAAACTGCTTTTAGTCAGTTGTCACAGCCTGTCCAAGTTGCAGCTATCAGCATTTGCACAAGGAAAGTATAGGAAGTCACTAGTTTAAGTATAGCATCATGCTCAGGGCTCTGTACTTTTAGATTCATCTCAAGCAAAATATCCATAAACTCATTTTGCACCCAGGATATCTTAAATAAAAAAAAAAAAAAAAAAAACAAAAAACAAAAAACAAACCACCATCAAAATAGACCAGCTGAGTTTCAGCAGGGCCCTACACACCACTCACTGCCAAAGGCTGTTTGAAAACATCAGTCTCCATCCTCCTCCTGAAACACAACTGGGAGCTAGCAAAGGCAGCTGGTGATGAGCAGCCTCCCCACCCTGCTAGAGAGGGGCTTTGGGAATCCACTGAACACAGAACAGCATTCCAGTTTTTAACTAGAGTCTAGTCAAACATTTCAGCAGATTGTCTTTTCTCTGACACATCTAGCAATATTTTGTCATCATAAATTACTCTAGTTTATATTAACTAAAAACTTCTCTCGTTCAATATCTAGTTTGAAAAATGTTGGCAATGAGCATTAATTCAAAGTAGATTTATACCCACAGACCGTGCTAGAGCACTGGGATGAGTTTCCCAAAACACAAACCTAAGTTTACCAAATAAGAACATGAAAAACCAAAGAACTGATTCACATCATCCAACTCACACAAGATAGATACATGAGGGCAGCAGGAATCCGCCAATATAAACCACTGTCAGACTTTGTGATATTCGTGTATACTTAAGAAAAACATGAACTGCAGTGTCTCAGGAGGAGACAGTACTTGAAAGGAGTCCAGCATCGGGTGTAAAAATTCACTGCATCCTCAATTGCCCCTGGTGGGGCACAATGCTCCCGGAGCTGGGGCAGGAGATGCTTCCAGGGGATCAACTGCTGCCACCAGCTCGCACTGGGCTTGGGAGCAGGGATGCACAAGTTAAGCCTTCGGGACACCTTGGTTTTCCAAGAGACACTTTATTCCTTGTGAACTTCTCACAGGAGGAAAAACTCTCAAGATAGGCTCATCGGATGTGCAGAAACACTTGTCTTCTTTTCCAAATGCCTTCCCAAATTGTCCCAACTTACATCCCAACCCCCTCCTATGCAGACAGACAGCCGGACTGTCACAAACATGGCTCACAACCTCCGCAGAGACAGTATGGCTGCAGAGGACCCAGCCCCCCGCTCTCTCCCTCTGGTAGCCAAATGGCTTATCCAAACAAAACATCAGAGCACAGGGAACTTTGGCTCCCTTGTAGGCTTGGCCAGATCTCTGCTGGGATGGCTGAGGGCCAGTAGTGCCACAGTGATTCCTGGAGGCACCCAGGAAGATGCTGCGCTTCTCCAAAAGTCATAGGAAGGAGCACTCCCATGCCAGCAGCAGAGGAAGGGACAAAGGCAGGTGGCTGCAAAAGGTTGGTGCGATGAGCAGGGCAGGGGGATCCAGCCCTGCTGAGCCCCATCAAGGGAGTGGGGATGCTGGGCCAGGTGCCTTATTACAAAAGCAGTTGCAAGTTTCTAAGCCCATCCCTGTGAAGGAGAAGCACCTTCATCTCCCTGTGCCCATCTCCTGGAGTGAGGCAGACCCTGCAGCTCCCCATTTCAGAAGGCTGACAGTGTTAGGGCTAGGCACATTTATTTGATGTTTCTACAGAATAATATATTTAATGAAAATCAGGCTGCAGTTTGAGACAAAACAGGCAGAGAAGGAGGAAATGGGGAGCTGAAAAATGTCCAAGCTTTCAAAAATTTTATTCTACTTCTTTTTTTTTTCCTTTTTTTTTGCTTTAAAGCAAAGCTTTGGCATTGTTTAAAAGAATAAAAATGTTATGTTGATAAATATTAATAGAGAAAAGGATTAAACGGGTAAAATAGCATGAACATGAAACATCATATCTGAGCTTGAGGACAAATGTTTCTCTTCAGCTCAGAACTTTCCTTGGTTTTGGTCACAGGACAAGAAAATCCACAGCCCATCCACCACTTTTGTTCAGCAGAGGGGCAGGGGAAAGGGAGATCCTTACTGGACATTCCCATGTCTAAGCACCGTGCATAAGAAAGCAATTAAGCACCTGAAAAACAGTTGCAATGATTTCTTCTTGCTACTCAGTGACAGCTGCAAGAGGAGGAGTAACTCACCCAGAGAAATCAAGGTTGTCCAGGAGCATCTTCAAGGCCAGGCTTCATCTCATGCCTAGGAAGCAAAAGCAAACAACTGCTTACTCACCAGCAGCTCAGCTTCCTCAGGCACTTCGAGATTCACACTTGGCTTTCACGCTGCAATTTTAAATATCCCTGAAAACCTGTGATTTCTCCCCCTCTTGCAGGAATTGGACCCAGTTTCCCCCCAAGCTGTTTTTTATTTTGTTCATCTCCCATCATTGCCCTGATCAGCAAAGGTCAGGGATGCCGGGCTGAAAACTTTTGCTCCTGGGAATATTAAAATGCCCCACGGCGCCTTCCTTTCCCTTCATTCCTGCATCCCCAGGCTGACGCCAGCCCCATCCCCTCCCCTCGCACCCCCGAAGGCCTTTCTCCACAGGCTCTCTCCGCTTTTCTCCTTCCAAGTGCACTCTTTCCCACCTCGCAGCTCCAGCCCAGGGCCACCGGGACTGGCAAAATCTCGCTGCGAGCCCACTGTGGCACCCAGCCCCGCGGGGACGGCACCGGGCACGGCTGCCGTGGGTAAACCGGGCTGGAGGCTGAGCTCAGCCTTGCTCCTGGGGCTTCAGGACAAAGAAACCCGAGAGGCCAGGCACAGGGTGGGCTGCGAGACAGTGTGTCGATGGGGAAACACGCGTGGGTACCCCCAGAGGCCGCCGTGCCTAAGGGGGGGGGGGGGGGGGGGGGGGGGGGGAGGACACGTGCATTTGGGGTGTCCCCAGCCCCGAGACCGAGCTCGCTCCCAGCCGCCGCCAGGTGGGGCTTTAGGACCGCGCTGCGCCACCGCCCTCCCGGGCCCCGCCCCCTCAGGGCTCAGCCCCGCCCCGTCACAGCCCAACTGCGCCGCGCCACCGCCAAGCCCCGCCCCCTCACGGCCAAGCCCCGCCCCCGCCGCGCCCCGCCGCCCGGTTCCCCGGTGCTCCCGGCTCGTAGGCGGAGGGCTGGGGTTGGGGTTCACCCCTCCTCCCGGTGCCCGCCCCGCTCCTGACAGTTCAGCTGTGGGCTCCTGAAACCCCCGGAGCGGGTCGGTGGGCTCAGCCGTTTGCAGAGCACCTGCTGAGCCCTCCCCTGAGCATCTCTGGGCATCCTTGAGGGGTCTGACTCCCCGCTTGCACCCAGCCCTGACCACCCGAAACCCTCAGCCCCGTCATCATCCTGCCCCAGAGCGGCTGGCCCGGGGCGAGGGGACAAGGTCAGGCTCTTGTGGGATTCTACCCCATCGCCCACCTCCCCTCTGGGCAGGACGGGACCTGGGGGCACAGCTCCTCATCAAGGTGGAAGCACTAACTGCTCTCCCAGCCCCACATCGCTGCTCAGCACCCAGTTTGGGTTGCACTGAAGCACCTGCCTTATTTGCAACCTGTTGAAATAAGGGCTGCAGCTGGGTGAGGGTGCCTGGGGGCTGCTCTCCTCCCCTCTCCCCACAAGCTGGATTGGGCTGATCTGTACCTCTGCAGCTTTTCTTTTTTACCTCATCCCAGGGTACCAGATCATCTCACTAACCAAGGTTTGGCCAGGAGGGCAGCAGATGTAGCTGCCCAATGTGTGCTCCATAGCTGGAGGTGCAGCCCCCTTCTGCAGAGCTTGCAGTTGTTTTCTTTGTTAATAAACACTTCTAGCAGTGAAGCAGAGAGAGCAGCTTGGCAGGCACTTGCTCAGACAAAAAGCTGATCTGTGTTCAGGTAATCCCCCCACTGCCCCTGGCAGAGAGCCCCAAGCTCCACCTATGCCTAGTGCGGGCAGAATTACTGACCCATGAGCTGCTGTAAACCCGGCACTGCCTCATTTGACCCCCTTCTACACGAGCTCTAAACCCAAACAGAAATAAGCTCTGTTAAAGGCAGAGTATTCTATCCCTCCTTCGCTCTGGGGCTTGCTGCTGGAGGCCACAGCATCTCCTGGCCATTCAGTTGCCTATGAAAAGTTTCCAGCTACAGAAGCAGTTCTGAATTATGAATGAGTTTGCTTTGTCAAACAAAGGTCTTGGCTCAGGGATTAGGTCTCAGCCATGTGCTGGAGGCAATTATTGACAACAAAGACCCTGGCACACATGTACTGTGTGACGCATCCTGGGCCATTACCCTGATAATGCAATTAGCTGCTTTAATGCAATCAGAGGGGAAGCAGTGCTGGGATGAGAGTGGGGAGGCCTGAGCCTGGGTGCCTGGGAGTCATTCCTGGGAAGCACAATGTTGGGTGCATCAACCCCCCATCCCAGGTCCCCAGCCTGTCCTGTGGGTGAATGCAAACTGCCACAGGGCCGAGACGTGGCTGCATGGACCGCACTGAGGCCATTGGTTTTACTCTGACACTCCTAGGGAGGAACTGCCTGCCCCCGACACCTCCTGGGGCAGAGCAGGGGAGGGAAGGCACGCCTGGTCCCACCGGGGGGTCACAGGGCATCGCCACTGCTCATGTTGGCCCTGGAGCGAGGTGCTTATTGCAAGGTGACTCACAGTTTTATGGCCGAGGAAGCATTCCTGTTCACTGGGAACCTGCTGCACCAGTGAGCAGACGGTCCTGGTGATGCGGGCAGTTGTGCAAGAGAGTCCCGAACCTGCCACCACGTTCATGGCCTTCAGAAACTGCCCTGCTGCCTGCTGTCCCTGCAGCTCGACACGGCGCGTAAAGACCCGATTTCTCAACTGGATGTCCAGGCATCCCATAGTTTTCCCTGGCTGACCAGCTCTGCCTGTTTGGCCCAGCCACTATGGCCCAACCACCCACTTATCCTGCATCCCTGCCAGCACTGAAGGAGGTGGCATCCACCACCAGCCCAAGCCCTCGCTGCTCACAGGGGAGCATTTTCTCTTGCTTCACCCAGGTGATACCAGATGAGTTATTGGATTTCCCCCTTTTTGCAGTTTTCTCATCCAAAAGCAATTTGGCACACACACAGCACTTTCAGGGGAGCCTGGGAGCTGTGATATGGACCAGTGCATGTGGCCCTGCTTATGGCTCCCTGGATAGGACAGCCTGAAAACTCAGATAAATGTTATTGAGCCCTGGCCAAGCTGCCACATAGGAGGGCAGCACCCGGGGCTGGGGCTCTCCTTTCTCCCAGGGGAGTACAAGCAGGGGGCTGGCACAGCCCAAGGGGTGCCCAAAATCCCTGGAGGGACATCACCAAGGCTTCTTGTCCCGGTGGGCACTGCTGGGGGCACAGCAGGGCACTGGGTGGGCATAGGCAGGGTGGCTGGATGGTGAAGGGGGTACCCGGGGCAGTGGGAGACAAGATCCTAATGGCAGGCAGCAGCGCAGCAAACATCGCCGTGGGGCTGAGCTATCGGTACTGATCGTGGGAGAGGAGCAGGGGCTGCTGGAAGCCCTTGGCTACATACCTGGAAGTCTTTCAGAGGAAAGGGGTTTTTTGAACAGTTTCCTCCAGCAGGGTTTACTAAGGGCAGCCTGAGAGCTGTAGTTAATCCTCCATGACTCTGCCACTCCTGCTCACTTTTTCCCTCACCTCGTGACTACCAAGTGTCCTTCTTAAATATCAGTCAATATTGTCACACTGCTCACCCAAGGGAAGAATAAATATCCGGGGACACTTTGTCCTTTTCGTGGGGAGTGTACCTGGAGCAGCAAACCCATGGGCTTCGGGTTCCTGTGGGACCCCCTGGCCATGCCTGACGGGGGGGGGCAGCACCTTTACCTCTGCTAGGAGAGAGAGGCCAACCCAAGAGCCATGGCACATTGGCAAGAAGCTCTGTTGTGGCTGGTGCTGTGGAAATTAGTAAACCTAGAGGGGAAGAAAATTGCTGCAACTAGAAACGTTTAACCTAAAAATGGCTACCTAGTGCTGGCAGAGTCTCTGAAGCCACGCTGAGGTTTCACCAGGGGTATCACCTCACATAGCAGCCTGGCTAGGACCAGGGAACACGCCAATGCCACATGCCAGCAGCAGAGCTGTGCCAGTGGCCACTGGGCAGGCAACCTGGCCCTGTCCTGCAGGCACTCCCCAGCCCAGTTCAGGTAGAACTGGAGTAACTCATCTCCATCTGCCTGGCAAGAGGGGCCACCTCATTTTCATAGCCCTGTCTTCAGTTACATGCGTGCAGCCACCCTGATCTGGTGCCTTTAAAGAGTCATCTCTGTCAGGAAAAGGTTATGCTGCATGAATCCTTGAGGGGAAGAAGTCATTATGGTTTTTGTGGTATTTAGCAGGCTAATTTCTAGAGCAGGTGCTCCAAAGAGGAAGAAGTAGATGCAAAGCATTGTGAGCCTCACACTTCCACCTCATGGTCATTGCAGTGTGGAGAAAAGCACCCCTGCCCCTCCCCAGCCCACATCAGTGCCCCTGCTGGTACCTCCCAGCCTGCTGGGGTTGGGGAGTGCCATAAAAATACATGTGAACAGGACAGAAACCCCTGCCCCAAAGTCCTGACCAGCCTTTTCCCCGGCTCCTGAGCAAGGGCATCCCTCTGGGCAGGGTCTTGGCAATGTGCTGGGTGGGCAGGGATGCCCCCAGAGCCACATGTACCCTGGGATGTGCGTGGTTCTGGGTGCCATCCCAGGCAGGTTTATTGTGCCACGCTAAGATGAAGCAGGAAAAAACGTGGGAAAAAACACCTTGCTTTGGTGGCTGTTTGTTTTTTTTTTTTTTTTTTTTTTTTGTTTGTTTTTTTTTTTTTTTTTTTAATGCACTCTGCAGAAAAGCTCAGGGATTTTGCAGCGTAGAAGGCTGAGCTATTTTCCAACCTGAGCAGGGAGCACTCTCCCTCGCAGGCGTGGGCTGCTCTAGAGGAAAGCCTCGCTCTGCAGCTGCTGGTTTGCAGCAGTGGCCATGCCGGAGCTGTGCCACCATGCCAGTCCCTTGCACAGCCCCCTTGCAGCACAGCCCATGCAAAAAAATAAAGGGGGGTTTGCTCCCAACTCTTCACAGCTGGTCCCAGTGAGGGGGTCCCACACACACACTTGGGACACAGGCTGGAGACTCCTACCCTTCTAGTTTTTCCTGTATAGAGGCAACCCCAAATTTCTACGTGTGCATCCATCTCCTCCAGGCCCTGCCTAGCCCAGCTGCTGCAAACAGTGAAGTCACCACAGCTGGGGTACCCATGGAGGAACATGGCCATGGGGATCCCCCCAAACGGAGGTCAGGGACTCCCACCAGTGCAGGAGCTCCCACCCTCGCTCCAGCAAGCACAGGGGGAGGCGAGGCTGCCATCCCTGGGGGGTGGCAGGGGCTGGAAGGAGCCTGCCACCCCGCAGGCTCCAGCTGAGCGCCGTGGGTGGGAGGAAGCTTCCCAGAAGACAGTGAGCTAAATAAAGGCAAGGCCTGGAACAAGCCAGGGCTGCCAGATATTTATTCTAGCATGCATGCCTGTATGCTGCAGAGCAGGAGAATGATATTTTAAAGCTGCTGCAAGGAAACTTGTCTGCCTGGGTTTGTTGATCAAAAAAATCTAATTATCAACCCTCCCTACCAACATCTCTGAGCCCTGCATCATAACACCTTCATCTAGGTATCTTCCTAAATGCACCTCCTCCACAGCAGCCGGCCTCTCCATCAGTACTACTTGGAAAAAAGGCTTTAGCATATACAGAGTAGTAAGAGCTTGTGAGCATCCCCATCCAGCACTCAACTTCTGGCCAGTCCTAATAGGAATTTTCTAACCAGCTGTTAGCATCCAGGCCTCACCCTCCTCTACTCAAACTCTCATAAACACTTACCCCTCCAGGCTTACGGATCCCACCTCCTATAAAAAAAGCACAGGCCAACCTATTAAAAAAAAAATACCACTATTTTTTGTTCTTGAATATGTATTTTTTACTGAAAAAATCATTCATAAATTAACAAATACAAAAATGTACAAACACATGGGTAAATAAATGTAATGACACAAAGGATTGCTTTGCTGAGAAGTGTGTGTGTGTTTTAAAACACTAGTCTTCAGTGCAAAAATGTCCCCCTGGCACCTCTTAAAAACATAACAGTAAGCTCAAAAGCCATGATGATGGAAAGCTACTTTAGAGTTTAAAGCCACTTCTGATGGTGAGCAACCTGAAGCACATGGCTGTTGCTCAGATGATACCTCCCTTAGAGGAGCAGAACTTTACAGGTAATTAACTGTCAATAAATAGTTTTGCAAATAAAACCCACATGGCTCATTTAAAAAAATAAAGAAATCAGCATTGAACAGGACCTGCCCTTCAGTGGGGCTGACTGACGGTGTTGACATAGAAGGGGTGAACAAGTGGCCTTGTTGAATTTCAGCTGCCAGAATATGTACAAGTTCTCCTTAATACAGGAATTTTTACACCATAACAGCACATGCGCTTGACAGTATGTTTTTAACAGTTACATTTACTATACAGTATTTGACATAGCTGATAAGATTAACAGTGCACATTTTCAGATATTCCACATTTTAAAAAGGGAAAAAAAACTCAACGTGATTAGAACAAAAGAACTATGAAGAGGGATGCTGCTGGGGGGGGATGGACCCTTTTGTGCCAACCGTAGAGTGCATTTCGGAGCAGAGGTAACGGCTTTTTGTTCAACACAAGGTGCAATGGGTGTCAGGTATACATCAAAGGCTGAGGATCCCGACTAAGGTAGTTTAACACCTACTCACACACACATGCATGATTCCTGGGGTAGTGAACTTGGACTAGTTGAAATACATTCCTTGTTTGAAGCACCATTAAACAGATGGATTTCTAGCAAGGTCTCAAGATGAAAAAAAAAAGAGGGGCAGAGCAACGCGGGTTCAGCATCTGAAAAGGGTCCACATGAATTAGAGATCAAGATTCAGAAGCCAAAGTCTTTATTGCTATATGCGCCATAAAAAGCAAATCCTCACCTCTGTCTATAAATAACCAGGTTGAATCCCCTCAGGAAGCGAGATTAAAGCACATGAAAGTTCAAAGACTTTAAACCTAAGTTACAAACTTATCAGCGCTTTTCAAGGGCAGGCTCACTGCCCTCTCATACTGGCCGATAAGATCTACACAAGAACTTGTGTTTTCTAAACTAACATTTTCTGGATGCAGGATAGGAATGCCCTGGGCAGTCACACCCACAACAGATGCATATGGGGATCATACGTCCACAGAACCAAGAAAACAATGTAAACCATGAGAAGTTAAAGAAACTGAAGGCAAACAACGCAATAAAAAGAAAGTTAAAGTACTTCAGAAGTTAAGTACCCACTGTTATGTATAAATACAAATTAAAAAGCAACACCCAATGTATCTACTTTTAAGTCAGAGAGGTCCAGTACAAGTGACCGTGTTGGTGCTGTGTAAGGACTGGATTGAGGGTCAGGGGGGAGGAGAGCCCGGAGCCCAGGCTGCCCACCACGGCTCTGGGGAAGGGGATGGCAGCTGGGAGAAGAGAGGGGGCACTCCAGTTTGGATGGGGTGTCAGACCAAGCTCTCTGGTTGCCGGTCCTCATATTTTTCTTGAGCTTGATTCATGTGTCCTTCATTTCTCTCACCCTCACTAACCTGCAACAACCTGCCCCACCAGCTGCGTGTGTGCCAGTGCTGCCAGGTGCCGACAGTGATAACCAAGTGCCCTACCTGGCTCAGGCAGCACTTTGGTGTGCTGCTAGATTTACACAATAAATACAAATGAAAACCACCTCCCAAACCATACCGTCACATTACAGGAATGACAGCAGGGTGCTGCTAGTGCGGGGCAGCCACCTGCCCCATCCCGAGGACACGAGCTCCTGAGCCATCTGCCAAGCTCATGCTTGCCACCAGTGGGATAGACAGCAACAGGCAAGGGATTTTATTCCCTACGGCTTTTGGATTCATTTGCTCATCAGGTTGTAAAAGTGACAGAAAGGGGAGTTTTTTTTCATAAATATTCCCATTTCCTCACTCTCTGTGGAAAAAGCCACCCCGTGGTTTCTGGAATGAGCAATGACACAGCTGTATTTCTCATCTGGAAAGTTTAGAGCCCTGTCCCACAAACATTTCTGCATATGCACAGCTTAAATCATGCAAGCAGTCTCACTGGCTTAAAAGGGAACACCTTGCACAAGTACAGTGATGCACACACAAGTGTTTACAGAATTCAGGACTAAAATGAGTGACCGTATGTAAACCTCTAGCTTGGATTTGAGCCATAGGAGAAAAATAAAAAGGGGCAATTTACACAGCATATTTACACTTACACTTCTTTAAGAAGCGATTCTGTTGTATATACTTCAAGCAGGTCATTTAAAAAACCGCACAGACGTAGAAGAATGGTATCAGAAGTCATTGAATTTCCCACCAGGGCAGTTGCCAACCGAATCACTCCTGACATTCGCTGTCGAGAAGCCAGAGTCCCTCAGCTGAGCCACTTCCCAGAGGAGAAAGTGCATCCTAGGCGAGTCCCAGTGCTGGAGATTGGTGGAGGAGGAATGTGGAGACGACAGCAGCAGGTCAAACTGTTGTCCCGAAACCCAGAAAGCAAGTGGCGGAAAAAAGAAAAGAGACTGCTGAGCTCACTGCATGAGTATCGGGCTGGATTGGTACAGTTAGGGCAATTTGTGCGTGCACTTTCAGCCTTAATCTCCAAAATACTGTGATCCTTCATTAGACAAAGTGTCACTTGTCCTCAATAACTCTTAGAAAAGAAAGTCTAGCGTGGTGCTTTCTTGGTGAAGGGCAGAGCAAAGTTATTTTCTCCTCTTAATATTCGGTCACCAGAGCCAGCTCCGGTGTCAGGTTAACAGTGATGTTCTTATACAAGGTGTCATACGTGACGTTGGGAAAGTAGTTCAAGTTATTGAGGCCGTCCAGGGCTTGCCTTTCTTTTGACTTCCTCAGCAAGGCATACCTGTGCAATGAGAACCAGAGGCCAGAGTCACTTCCACGAATCCCACAGAGCTCTGCAAAGTCCTCCCAACACTACTAAAACACCCTTAAAACAGCCAGTCCTAGTAGCAGCTACAACACAATGAATTTGATCCCTTAAAGATAACAGTCACATTTTCTGTATTGGTAAATATCCCAAACTTTAGAAAATCACTGTCCATCATTTGATGAAGAGCAAAATGCTCTCTGTGCCACCAGAGAGCACTCAGCTGTCAAAACAACCTGCAACTCCTGCCAAAAGCGTGCGGGTCCCATTCCCAGGAGGGGGCTGAGCTTGGGTGGGTCCTGCCAAGCTGTGACCAGCCAAAACATCCTGGAAAAAAACAGCTGATGGGTGATGTGGTCCTTTCCACTTTTAAGAAACTGGACCACAAACAAGATCAGAACTAAATGGTTTTAGTCTGAGAGACAGGGGACGAGGAAGTAAAACTAGAAGAATGATGGTTTGGGGAAGGAAACTGCAGCTGGTGCACAAAAACAGCCTCAACCAGATTTAGAGGCAGCACGATGAGATATAAGGGCTAAGGGTGGGTGGGGAAAAATAAAATAAGCAGAAACATCTCAGTAGGACAGGACATTGAGTTTCTGCACTGCAGTGCTGGAGGCCTGGCAGCAGCTGGGTGAGGGGGAGCTGGGCTGAGAACTGCTGACAGAATAAGCACCAGGGAAGGGATGTGATGGAAGGAAGATGCTGGGTGAGAGCAAAGAGGAAAGTGCCAAAGCTGGTTGCAAAGAGGCCACAGCACCAGGACATGGGCAGGACACTCAGAGCCTTAACGAACACTTTCCTTCTCCACAGTGAGAAGTGTTGGGTCCCCAGACTCGAGGAGAGGGGCTCTCAGATGGCAGCAGTTAGTACTTGCCTGGGGCTAAGTGCAGAGCAGAAGGAAGCACAGATTTCAGAGGTGGGACGGAGGATATCTACTGCTGAGCCTCACTTTGGCTGGGGGTCGGGCAGGTGAACCCCTGCCTTGCCCACCTTCCCCACAGATTCCCCCTCCTGCAGCGCTGACCCACAGCTCCTGCTGACATTGAACTGGGGCTCCTGGCTGGGGCCAGGAGACCAGGGAAACATTAGGAACAAGAGCTCAATCCCACTGCACTGCCAGCCTTCCATGCTTCAAGGGTTTGACTAAATATGGCTTTTTAAGCCAAAACCAACTTCTCTTTCAAGAGTGAAATGAGAAAAGCATCTCTTACTGGCTGCATTCTGCCCACCAGAGAAATGAAAACTAGGGCTAAAGATGACATAACCTCAAGTAGAAACTCCCCCAAATATGGATCTCTCTAAAAAGAGACCAGCAGGTAGCTCAAATGGTATCTGCAACATAAATCCTCCTTGCTACCTCTACCATCAGCAGCCAGGAGTCCCTCTGCAGAACAGAGCTTGCACTGTCCAGCAGCTCATCACCTACAAGTGTTAAGCCCTGCAGTAGTTTGCGAAAAAGGTATTTCTATGGTTTTCTGTTGCATAGTTTTCAGAAAACTCAAATTCCACCAAGGTCCTCAGCACAAGCAGTCATTCAACCAACCCTCACACTCTCCGAAAAAAACATGGCTCCTGGGCAAAAGGGTCAGAGCCTTCCTGGAAAGCTCCAGGCAGAATTTACCTTTTGGAGAAAAAAGACAGTATGTTCATGCAGTACTTTTGCTCCTTAGGTACAGAGGACAGTTACTGCTCCTGATGGATGTCCGAAGTCTCACAAGAGAACAAACCCTGAATACACGGCCTTTGTCCACCCACCCTGGTTTGGGGCCAAGAGGCAGGAACGGAAGAATGGAGAGGGCTGAGCTGCTCCATCTCAGCACTGTGGTGGAAGTGTGTGGAGCTCCCTGTTTGCACACACCACCATGGGATGAAACCCGTGCGAGTGC